ATGTGCGTAGATTCGGTGGTGAAAAATCGATCTAGGTAGGTTTCATTTTTAGGAAATGTCCTTTTATCCCATTTTCAGGGAATGAAAAATATCATTCGAATATGATGGTAAATTAGGCCGAAAAAAAATGTTATAATAGCTCGGTCGGTAATCGAGCGGCCCCGAAACAGAAGTCCGCGGTTCGTGTCACGATCATTTACACACTTATTTTTGACTTTTTTTTCTATACCAGATCATTGCATTCTTTATTCTTTATTTTTTTGTTTCCAAAATACACGATTTACATGCATAATTGGTCTATGATGCCTTGTTATTAGTTTTAGTTTACAAATGTCCTTTTCCCAGCTAAGTAAAAGCAGCCTGGAGTTCGTAGAGTTCCTTCATCATGTTCGTGTAAATTTCAATAATAATCAAATTTAAAAATAGTTTGGATACATATTAAACCTAAAATATATTAAAATATGTGGGTGAAAAAGCATTAATTAATTTGAATGTTCTTGTGGCTTCCCTTTCTTTTGTTGGCTTTTGGTTTTACTTTTCAAGTGAGTTTGTGTAAAAACAGGTGGTTCCTCTCGACACCATTTGCTAAGAATATGAAAACTTGACAAGTGGGGCTGACAAGCTCTCCTTTATTGGGCTGTAGATGTACTTCACTTATTCTTACATAACAAGTTTAATTGAACGTGGTTTTTTTGTTGGCGTCTCTTTTCGTTTAAATAACAATCACGTAAATGTGATAAGCTGTTACGCTGTTAATTAACCGTTGACATATTACAATGTTTACCGTTATTACCCATTTTAAGAATTATTTTAAGCCTCGTATTTTTAGTCTGTTTTTTTTTTAAGGAAATAAACAAGTACACCAACAGAACCGATTAACCTTACTTAATATTACAAATGCAAAAGTTTGTATGTACTAATGGATGTTTGTTACTATTTCACGCAAATACTACTGAATGGATTGTAATGAAACTTTACAATAATATAGCTTATACATCAGAATAAGACGTAGGCTATAATTTATAGCTGTCTGAATGTTACGCCTTCAGCCTATTCTACGCAGACGTAGTCGCGGGCAGCAAGTAGTATTACATACGTTTGACCAGTTTTTAATATTGTTATTTTCAAATAACACGAGGTATTTGCGTGTGGAAGACCGCACGGCCTTCCAACTTTGAACACTCATTTCATTGTCATTCGCGTGACAGTGAGCTTAGCAAACAGCGTGGGCAGATGATGCGCCACTGTAAAGCGCGGTAAATTATAGGACTCGTAGGCCGTAGCGTACACGTAGTTATGTTTAACACTATTGATGGTTTATATCAAGACAATCATAGTTTGAACGCTACGCATATAACAGTCAAATGAGATCGACTGTCATTTTACAAATACAGCGCAAATTGAAATGTGATTGCTAATATTAGTATACCTAAAAACAAAAACATAACGTCATCTACTCATTGGTTTGCGCTCAACACATGCATTGGAGAAAATGTTTAACAATGTAGTAGCTTTTTAGACATACCTTGCTTTTTACCCTGTAAATGTATGTGCAACCTAATCACGTGTCAACGTGATACAATTAAACAACACTTATATTTCAATTCATACGCTAGTACTCATAAGTTCAAAAATCATATTGTATCATGAAAATTTAACCTGTGAATAATATAACTGGCCAGTCAAGGTTACTTCTCTTAAGGCCCACGTTTGTTGGTTTGACTTGCAATGTTCAGTTGTTACGTTACCCCAGAATGTGTAACTGGCGCGTTATAAATAGAGTTTAGTCTCGAGTTGTTCGGTTCGTTACTACTCATGTGCAGAACAGGCCAATCCATTATCTTACCGCAACTAATAAAAACTGAATGGAATTTCAACGTTGATCACGATAGAGTTGTTTCAGATATTATTAATAACATCTAAACTTTTTGTAAGAGAATCTAAAGTTTGAAAAAATAATTTCAAATAGTCAACGATTACGTCACACAGCACTTTCTGGTAGATTTAAGAAGTTGTAGATGACGCCAAGAAATGTTTTATTTTTTCCATAAAATAAAAATTCAAATAATTTGAAATGTGAGTTAAATATCTATATTGTCGAAAATGTATTTCCAGAATTGATCTATTAATTTTCGTCTTAAGTGCAGACTAACACAAAAAAAACAACTTATAATATGAATTGATATTAAAATAATAATATAAGTAGAAAATATAGATAGATTCTATAATTTTCCACATATAGGATCATTCATTTAATAAACGAGATAAATTTATTAAGTTTAATTTTTTGTTGTTCCAAAAATGTTCCAAGTTTTTGCACTAGAATAATTGTTATTACAGAATAGTAATATTCAGTGAATACTAAGAAATGTGTAGGCCGTGTTTAGCGTAAACAAAAAGTTTGATTGATTCATAATATTCAACAATTTTCACGACTATAGTGAAAATTGTTTGGCTGGAAAAAGTTGAATTATTTTCCACACGACGAGTAAAATCGTGTAGAAAAGTATGGAAGTAGCGTCCGGTTCGCATTCGCTTATTTTGGGTTTAGGCGTTTATAAAATAACAGTTTTTTTAGATCTGTATCCTGTAATTTATGTATTTCAGATTATTCGAGATTTTGACGTGAAAAATTTAAGCCTTAGACATCTGCGGGACGTACGTCGAATGGCTTCGTATCACTATTTACCTACAGATACCTAGACATAATAGGATATTTTGTAATAGCCTTTACAAAAAACAGATGCGGTAGAGTCCTTAACGTATTTTAAAATAGAGGAGGCGGTGGTAATTTGGAACCCCACTTTGTTTTTTGAGTATTTTAAGAAAACTATTTGACTAATCATCACAAAACTGTCTCTTTATATTTAAAAACTTATTAACTTTTATATTAGAAAATCATTTATAAAATAAAATCACTCAGTATAGGAAACAAAATTGCTTTCTTGGAAAAATAAAAAAAAATGTGTTCTAAGCTCTAGTGCTGGTATTGTGGAACCCGGGTTCCAAATTAAAAGTATGAAATAAATTTACATACAAAAATCACAAATATAATACTTCGCGTCACATCCTGAGCATTCAATATGTGTCCACAACCTACATGATTGGCACTAAATCCAAGTTTGACCCTGTTGATCGTTGGAGTAATTTACAAAGCAAAAAATACAACAAGCGTCAACTTGATTTGTGGGCTAGCCATGCGCGGGTTATATTTTCTGACATTAGAGTGCCACCTGAAGAAACAGAAGATTCAGAATCCGAAGAGTACATCCCCGCTGTTTGGAGGAGTTCTAGAAGGCTTTGCAACAGTCTGTCCACCACTACGCCCACGAGCTTTTCCCCGACCTCTTCACCAACCTCTTCCCCGACTTCTTCCGGATTCCAAAATTAAAACCTTACTTTGTTGCCAAATAATCAAGAAAACAAAAACTACTTCAAATAAATCTTAAAACTTAGCTCTGACAATGTAAACTTATGCGTATATACTTCGTGTAACACCTCCTGTATTTAGTTTAGACAGACACAAAAGTTTTGACAGTATAAGGAAATAAAAGGAAAAAACATTTGCAGGTGAAACTTCTTATAACAGGTCCAAACTCGATGCAACAATGGCGCCAGAGGCGCTAATACGTTTAATGACATCAGTTCGACGTAATTTCATAGATTCTCAACAGATTTCGTTGTCTGTTCCTGGGATATTAAGGGGTTCCAAATTATCAGCAGGTTTAAAATTACCACCTCTTAATTACTATACCCTATACCCTATAATTACTTGAAATTTTCATAAATGCAATCATAAAAGGACTTCTCAGATTCTCCAAGTATTTTCACTAACCAATTATTACTAATTAGTAGAAGAGTGCAATAAATGTTGGTCATATAAAATTAATTTTCAGTTTACAACTGAAGCTATAGGTAAAATGGATTGGTTTGGAAGCAAATGCTGAAACATATCATTATTCATTTATTTGATACCGCACAGATGAATTGAAATCATAATTATGATAACATATTTCAATCAATTTAATATTTACAAATACGTGACATTTTTGTCTTTTTTTGACTTTGATATATTTTTGACTATAAATCCTTACAAAGGAAAAATAAATATATGCTAAATAAATCAAAATTTGTACTTAAATTCAAAAATAAAGGCTTGCCTTTTAGATGGTAATTTGACTCGTCATTTTAAAATAGTAGTCATGGTAAGATAAACATAATATAACAATGAAATTGCTTCTCCTTTAAAAAGTTTACTTTTAATTCGTTGCCATCAAAATGTGTTTCAGACGCGGTCAGAATTTTCAGTGACCTGAAATCATAACCGACGTCGTTATTGCGTCTAGGTCAGCTACGACTACATAATCTAACTAAATCTGTGGTTAAACAGCATATTGCGCCAACTGAAAAATACTTTTATGGTATAGTGTTATGGACAATGCCCGTATTTTTTTCATAGGTACAGTTTTTTTATCTCCTGAAATGCTGAATTTTTATTTTCAGTTTTACCAAAATAATAAAGGTTTATATTATGTAAAGTTTTTTTTACCTTTCTTTCTATATTTTCAATGATAGCTTACGAGGGACCATATATTTATTTTGCTTACCAACATTTGGCTCCTATTTTTTTTTTAAATTCCTACTATGTCTTGCATTCAAACAATATGTTTATAAATAGTAAATACAGAACTTACTTATAAAAAACCTTATTTTAAAATCTCACCGGAGACACATTTAGAAAAAGGATGACAAAAATTGGAGTAACTTATAAACGCCAGGTCAAGAGAGTCCGCATGTTAAAAGAACTTAGTTACGGTAAAGCTAAAATGGTATAGTTAATTAAAAATAAGTAATAAGGATGTACATTCATCCATCATGATGATACTATGTGGATGAATGAACCTAATTTACGTCTATACTTTTTTATATGAAAAGTTGTATTGCACCATTCGATTATCATGAAGATTGTTGTCTCAAGGTTAAATTTTGCTATTCCACAGCGGCAGCGCGTACGAGGGACAATGGCAGAACGGCAAGAGGCACGGTTTGGGAGTGGAGACACGGGATCGGTGGTTGTATCGCGGAGAATGGACTCAGGGGTGCAAGGGGCGCTACGGTGTTCGCCAGAGCACCACCAGCAACGCTAAATACGAGGGAACATGGGCGAACGGCTATCAAGACGGATACGGCTCCGAGACATACGCGGACGGCGGTCAGTACGATTCTTGGCGACGGACCGTGGAAATTTCTAACGAAAACATTTTAATCTGCACGGCCATGGCTTTATTATACATTATTTAAATAAAACGTCCAAGAATTCAACGGGCATTGCGTAATACTTTGACCGATGTCTATGTTCAGCATGTGTTTTAATAGTTCCGCTTATAATTTCAACACAGTCATTTGAAGGGAAAATCCCACCTTTACTCGTGAACGTTACGTAATGACCCAAATTGTGAATACGAAAAAGAAACCCTCACGGCTTGCGCAATGTTTGCTTTTGCAAAATAAAATGAATATTTAAACTCCCAAGCTTAAGCGTACGACCCCTGCCCGCATATTTTTTTTATTAACGTTGTTCATTGTGTCGTTTTCGTTATTAACATATTGTTTCTTATATAAAAGAATGGAAAATTACTTCCATAAAGATCTTTAATCATTCAATTCTACGTAGCGACGGATATCTCCCTACATAAACCATAAAACAACGTCACGGAACTCTTGACGTGGGCAAGCTGAGTCATAGACGCTTTAAGATTTGTCATTCATGAAAAGAGAAATGATTTTCTGATCGGTTTCCTTTTACATTGTAATAATTATTACTCAGAGGTTATAATCAATTCAAGGCTCCTTACATTCCTTTATTGTAGTGAAAGAAAGAAATAGTAACTAACGTAATCAGCGTTGTGGTGTCGTTGGCATTTTGGATGTGTACTTTTCCTTTGGCCTATTGATCCACTTATCGGTATCAAAATATGTTTATATTTAATAACATTTTATATCAGTATTGCAGTAGTTTTAACATTACAGTCGGCTATCCCCATATCAAAGGATTTATCCTTGTTATAATGTTTCACATATTATTTTCGAGCATCGATCTCTTGTGGTTGTACAATTGGCGGTTATTTACCGAAATATCTCGCACGTCTTACGAGTTGTGCATTCGAGTACACCGATAATGTACGGCATGATTTTTGAGCAGTTTAGTGGTCGAATGATGAGAGCGATGTGGCCCTGCGGAACGCCCCGCTCCGCGGCCCTCGCTCCTAAATATAGAGCAGGCACGCCCGCCGCGCTCCGCCTCGACACACAATCGCGTCCACCGCTTATTTTATTCAACTACAAAAAAAGGTCTTTACAGTCATTACGCTGACCCATTAATGACTGATCGCTAATTTAGCATCTCAATCGTGGCTTACTATTTTCTCAAGCTCGGAGACCATTATCGGATTTTATACTGCAGATGTGATTATAACATGCTAATAATACAATATCCATATTATAAAATAATTCCACCTGTCAATGTATCGTTAAATCTAGTAGTTAACACTGCGGCCGAACCCATAAGACAGGAAATGTCTTACGCTGCCGACGCAATTAGGTCCTATGATTGCACTCATGTGTGTATATTGTCTTTCCGTTGAATTTCGGAACACACAGTATATAAAAGCGCTGACCAAAAATGTTGCTAACAAGCGTCAAATCGATCCATCCGGTAGGTTTTGAGTTTTGTACGGACATACGGAAGCTAGATTTTTATGTATAAACCAGCGAACCGCCCCGGCTTCACACGGGTGCGATGTATTATACATATAAACCAGCCTCTTGAACCACTACTAGATAGACTAGTAAAGGAAACCGCATCATGATCCGTTGCATAGTTTTAAATATCTAAGCATACATAGGGATAGACGGACAGCGGGACTACTTTGTTTTACGCTGTGCAGCGGTATTGTCACGTGCGCCGCTTCCTTTCAGGGACGTACCAAGGTCAATGGCTGCGGGGGCACAGGCACGGGTACGGGGTCCGCACCTCGGCGCCGTTCGGTCTGGCGTCGCACTACCGCGGCGGCGCGAGGGACACCCGCGGCTCGCTGTCCTCGCTGGTGGAGGCGGTCGGCACCCCGGACCCCTCCGACCGGCGCAACCTGCGCGTGGACGACGCGCGCGGCGGCTTCGTGCTGCAGAAGAGCTCCGACGAGCCCGCCGGCCGGCGCGGCTCACTCGTCGAGAAGACCAAGAAGGGCTTGTTCCCCGTAAGTGGCTGTTCATTCGAACAAAGAAAAACGTCCTTGGGAACAGGAAACAAAACCGACTTCGCCTCTCTCACTTAGTGCACGTTTTCTATTTGATGTTGAGGTGTTCCGAGTATCTAAAGTCCAAGGTCTACTATGGGACCGCTTGGGAACTTAACCGAATCCAGCCCAAAAATAGTTTTTGAAATCCCTTCATAAATCACTGAGTTCTGAGGTAACAGATATTAAAAAAACATAGTACTATCGAATCGAGAACCTACTTAGGATAATTTCTTCTATTTATGCGATTAAACGTAAATTAAACTATTTTTATGGCGTTTTCATGATCGTGGGACCATGAACGGCGAAAAGGTTGGGAACTACTGTTTTTACGGTGGTAGGGCCACACAGCAGCCTCGGCTGTTGCACGAATGGGCAGGCCCGTCCGGGTAAGTACCACGACCTCACAGAAGACCGGCGTAAAGTGGAAGTATGACAAATACTTTCGCGTTTCGTCTGGTGAGTGAGGTAACCGGAGCCCAATTTTCAAAAGGTTGTCAACGCATCTGTAACCCTCGGGTGAGGCAGATGTCCATGGGCGGCGGTATTCACTTAACATCAGGTGAACCGTCTGCTCGTTTGACAACTTTTCGCATAAAAAAAAAAAAATAAATAAATAAATCTGTAAAAATAGTTTCATTGTGAACCTCTTCATTTTATGAAGTTGGTTGAAAATAAGACAAAGTGTTTCACAATTTGCATTTCTTGTCTTAGGTAGGAGCCAAATAGTAAAACAATTAACATTCTTTAGATTTATTACATTTTAAACGTGACTTTTATTCAAATGTCACGTTTAAAATCATACTTATGCATTACAACACACATTACACACCATCGTACGCTAGAGAAGAATAGGGGAAGAAGCTAATTTATTTGATCATAATTGTGGACACTCATATTTTTAAAGTATAGTCGTAGTTTAGTTGTAAAGTGAATAGGTACTAACCACTAGGATTGCGTCCGAATTTTATTTATGACCAATAACTAAGAAATCTAATTGATAAAAATATAAGCTTTGATCCGTAAAAATTTACCAAATTTTATAGACAATTTTTAATCGTACACTGGGATCTACACTCACCAGGTTTAGTTCTAAGGTTCATAACTATAAACATTTATTTTAAAAAAAAATTTAAAGTTTAATACATTGACCTCACAATTAAGTCATCATATGCGATCTTTGAATTATATTTTATACTGGTCACTTGACATTCGTTAATTGTGCAATTATAAGTAATTGGAAACCCAAAGAATACCAACAGGTAATATTTTAATTAAAAATGTTAAATTATTTAATAAATACAATAAAATAATAACCTTAAATCATATTGATTTAAGATTATTATTTTATTAAATTTTTTCCGTTTCTCAGCGCACAGTCCGATGTGCTGGTGCAAAGAACCGGAAAAACTTTTCTAACTGAAATGAAAACAATTCAATGGGAAAAATTAACGTTTCTTTGTTTGCTCCATATGCCTTTTACCGTTCATGATGCGATTGCGATGAAATTTTGGTGAGTTGTTGTGCGCGAATACTTGGTGTTTTGAGTCGTCGAACAAAACGGTGCAATTAAAACATTCCCCGTGTCGTGGTGGCAGAACTTTCGCAAGCGACGCAGTACCGGAGAGTTGGACAAACGCGGCACCGGTTCCGTGCGGTCGGGAGGTTCCGCGGGATCCGCCTCCTCTTGGGTCTCCTCCGTGGAAAGCACGCACTCCAACAACACGCGTGGCTCCCACCATACGCACTCCAACACCAGTTTCATTGTCGAGGTGATTGTTTTTAATAAAAATTTTAACATTTACCTGAATGTTTCTTGGGACCAAATGAGTTTTTACTGGACATGGTATCCTGGGTAAATCTAGCGTATAAGCTGTCTTAGCAAATTCTAAACCATTCTTCCGTTGCGGTACAGATCACGCACGGACACAGAGAATTTACCTATTTATGGTATAAGTACATGCAGGGTTATCTTGCGTACGAATGTAATGATGGCCATACTTGCCGTGCAGACATTTACCGAAATATCTATATTTATTGTTATATAATTGGGTCTTTAGCAAAATACGAGGCCAGACTAAACGATTACGCACGTAGAATTTAAAAGTTGATATGTAATAAATGTTAAAAAGCAAAAAGATATGCTAAAAACGGTAAATTAATGACATGTATTTAGGATTTTGCGATATTTAAAAGAAATACATATGTTAGCGAATTACCATAAATTAACGCCATAGAGTACGAAGGCTTACATTGTTATCTTTTTCAGGACGAGCACTTGGATCCGAGTGTAACAGAAACGTACATGGGTGAATGGAAGAACGACAAGCGAACAGGATTTGGTGTGTGCGAGCGCAGCGACGGCCTCCGATATGAAGGTGAATGGCTCGGGAACAGGAAATATGGATACGGAGTGACGACGTTCCGAGACGGCACCAAGGAAGAGGGGAAATACAAAAACAATGTGCTCATCACCAGCCAGAAGCGGAAACACATGTTTCTCATGCGATCGGCGAAATTCCGTGAACGCGTTGACTCAGCGGTGAACGCGGCACAACGCGCTTCGAAAATAGCATTACAAAAGGCCGATATTGCCATCTCTAGGTTGGTATCAAGCGTTGACTTAAATATAACAGTTGTCAACAAATATAAATGGAATATTTTTTCAGCATTTTAGACTAATGTATTTTTTGTCTTAATTAGCTGTACTATACGAGTATATTTCTATAGTGATAATAAAGATTAGAGATTTTAAATAGATAATTTTAAATTTTAAAACAGCTTTGGTCAACATAGTGAATTAAAATATAATCATCTGCTCATGTAATCACATAAACCAACGTAATAATAATATTAGTATTACAAAACCGAGTAATAGTTGCAAATCTTGAACCACTACTACTAGTAATCACTAATACATAAAACGATATTTAATGCAATAACAAATTCAGGTGTTTTCAACTGTTTTTTTTTAAACAAATTCAGTAAATTTAGGTGTAGTAAGAGATTGTGTAGTAAGTATTACTTAATGATTATGTTACAGAACTGCTACCGCTCGGGGTAAGGCTGAGCAAGCGGATGAATCGGCAGACCAGGCAAAAGAAGACTGTGATATAGCACAAACAACTGCAAGACAGTTCGCTCCAGATTTCAAACACCCTGGCTTTGACAGAATAGGTTTAAGAGACCGTTATAGACAAAAGGCATATGAACGGCAATCACCCGGACCTGTGGCGCAAGAATCTGATCAGATCTTAGAAGGAAAGACCATTCCAAATCATATCCCGCCAACGCATTCGCAGCTCCCTCAAGGCAACAAAATTCCTAATGCAATGAATTCAAGACGGCCATCCACACAATATCCTAAAGCAGCCCCACCATTGGATCCGCGACTTGCCAACAATGCTAACTATGTAACTGATGATCGGACACTTGGTCCTACTTACGATCCATATTACAGTCCGAACCAAGAAAGCTGGGTCTCATCAAATAATCCTCCAGCTCAAATGCAAGACAAACAAAGACCTTATATACCAAATGAATCGATGGGCAGCTATGGTCTAAGCCAACCGGTCGGCCCACAACCGCCTCCAGCATCGTACCGCAGGCAGGACTCTATACAAACACAACAAAATATGGACCAAGGGCACCAACAATTTATGAATCAAGGCCGTCGGCCCTCGGTAAGACCGCCTATGAGTCAAAGACCTCCCCAAGAGTGGAATTCAACTCAAGGTATTCCAAGACGGCAAAGTATTCTCGGACAACCAACATTTGACCCTCAAAGTAACACGTACATCGATAGCAGCACTGCGTCTTATGGTCGCAATGAGTTTCGTACTGGAGTGTTCCATTCAGATGGACATCATGAAGCGCAAAGACAAGCCCCGGATTCCCAAGGCTACCGTTCGACCACCGAACCTCAAGCTTACCAACAACAGCTCGACCAACAAGGATACAGACAAGCAACTGATCAACAGATGTATCGCCAATCTACGTCTGACCAGCAACAGTATCGACAGCAAAACGTTTCCGCTGAACAAGAAGCGGTCAACGGGGAACGAGAACCGCGACAGTTCACGGCTCGCCCCTCGATAGATTACTTCGATCATTACAAAAGACCGCCAAGTAGGGACTCGAGTGTTGATCGCTATGGTAGAAGGTCAAGACAGCCGTCGGTGGAAGCCGCGCCTACCGGTGGTTCACGTTCGGGATCAGTGGCGCCGCAGCCGATGACGTCATCCAGGCCGCCTTCACGGGCGGCGACGCCAGCGGGCAACGGCCACTTATCCTCTGGCCGCGGCTCACTCTCACGTGCCGCCTCAAGAGAGCCCCAACCATTCGAAGACACACTGCTTCGGAAGCGGACTTTGGGACAGGAAATAACACCGTCACCTTACCAACCGAAACGGACAGAGAGCCTATATGTTGCCCAAAATCCAACAGCACCCCCTCCGGTGTCGATGGGGGGAGGAGGCGGTGGAGGCCGTAAGGTAAGCTTCCACACAGGATTAGATTTGAAATACGTTAGTATGTCATTACAACTATTTCAGACATATAATTCATCGCTAAACGCATATTTATATAATCACTGAGCTCGAATCATTAATCTACAAAGTTGTCAGTGCCTTCTGTGTACGACGAATATGAGGAGTCTGCTCAAAAACATATATCTGCAAAATACTCCAAATTAATACACCACCTTTTTTTTTACCGTTATAGATTGACTTCGGTTTGTTATTATTTATGATGGAATAACTCTTAGGAAGGGTAAACTTTGTCCAACAACAGTTTTCTTTTTCGTTTTGAGACCGTTCCAGTATCATGTACCTAAATAAGTAATAATATGATAATTTGAATAATATTTCAAACTTTGTCTTAGGTAAGTTAGTCGAATTTGCAAATAGAAAAAAATGAAACCACAACAAATTTATGTGAACGGGTAAGGTCTAATTTTTAATATCTTTCGACCACCTCAACTTCCCTTCATTAACCTTTAATTTAATTACAATTAAATAACAGGCTGGTATTTTTTGTTAACTGGGATAGCAAATAGTTTACTTCGTTACGGTGACTTTTTAAGCTGTCAAGCCCTTCTTTCTTCCTTCCTTTCTTATAAACCTAACTAATAAATTCTTATGTTTTAATTTGAAATGAGTTTTAAATTGAATAAGAATAATACATCATTGTTCAACATTCTATACAATTTACGTAGTTTGATTTCCTATTTTGATAGAACTCGGTGAAGCCTTAACAGCTCAATGTCCGGACTCTTACGCCATGATAGCTCAGTGTTCGGTCAGTTAACTACTATTTTTAAGTGCTGACTTATCACATGCACTATCGTTGAACACTAACACTCAAATTCTTCACTTCACTAACATTCAAAGAATCCTGTATATTTTCGAAATAATAATAATAAAATATATAATAGATATGTGAATTCTGCCAATTCGCAGTGGTGGTGGTGGACTATGCCCTAATATCCTGTGTACCGAGTAGTCCGTTGCTTGGCAATGGGACATATAATTATAGTCTGTTAATTATATATTACTTCCTAGAACTTTAAAAAAAAAGCTCTACTTTTTACCGTGTAACTTTATTAAGAATTAAAATAATTCTTGAAATCTTGTGCACTCATGTCACCCTAATAATATATATATCTTAATCAATAAGCCACATAATGGTGTGAGTTTTTGAAAATAAAATTATGTATTTTTCTAATTAATTAGATATGAAAGGAACACACTTAAAGAGACCAAGATTGAAAATTGAAAAGTGAAAAAGTCTTTAGAGGATATCGGAACGTTTACCCGTTTAATGTATATCGACATAATTATTGTAATGTAACTAATAATCTATATATCTGAGAAACGTGGTAGTCCCGTCTTCTGCCGTCTTCGTTTAGGTAACAAATCGCTGGGTGAAGTTAGTTTTGAATTTACACTATCATAACTTTCTCCAAAAAAAGTATGAAATTATAAGTTTTATAGTTGCATCGTACGTTCAGATTTTAATAAAGTTTCTTTATTACACTATAGTTTTATAAGTTTCTCTATTATTAGGGTTGCTGAATCAAGCTTAAGTTATTCTTGTTTAACATTGTCATAATTAATTGATATATTTTTACAACAAGCTTACAAACGTAATATTGTGAATCATATATTCGCCATACTAAATGGTCAACTAAATAACACGTTTATTTTTTAATTATTTAACGACCAAAAGTTTACTCAATATTTAAAATTACGACAGAACAATAACATTTCAGCTTTTTTGGAAGTAACTTTTGCAGGATCCGTATATATTGTATTGTATTGATCGATATAATTTTGACCCACAAAAAATATTACGAGTACATTGTATTAGACAGTGTTTTAAAAAAATGTTATGAGTTTTGTTTTGCTTTCTTTTCGTATAAACCAAATGTTCTTTGCCGATGTGTCTATTACTTCTTTAATACTATTAAGGCATGTCGTACATTTCCAGTTAGTAATGAACCATGCTTTAAAAAAATGTAATTTAAAAACTTTATACACTAAATCATGTCAATTGTTTCATTAAATTTTTACGTTTCGCCAAAGACTGGAATTCTAATTATGTTTAGAAGAAGCTTACAAAAATGTGTTAACGCGAAGCAAGGTCCGGGAGGCGATATTATGCCTGTACATTTGGCTATAGGTTAGATGTGACGATACCGGCCGGTGGGCGGCGGGCGCCCAGCCCGTTCTATTTCTAAATTGAGACAGTCATTCGCTGCGGCTCTCCGCGCATCAGCTCCTCGCTTATATAAATAGAAACTCGTTGGAAAAAAATAAAATCAAAAACAGTGTGTTCAGTGCGAAGATACAATGTTTCTTGCATTCACACAACATTAAATATTCATGGTCAAATATCGAACATAAATAATGAGTGAGAAGTGAATCCAACTGAGATTAATAAACTGATTAGGTGCCATAGTAATATAATCAATACAAATGATGTGGTATCAAGGAGAGGAAGATGAAGACGACGATCTTATGTGTTCGCCGGCAATATTGGCACGCCGCGCTTCCGAAAGCTGGATCAATGTACCTCCGGTTGAGGTAACTTATCTATTTACATGTATTGATGTAATACGTACAACCAAATACAGTAGTGAGCACATATTGCAGCTTTCTTTTAAAAGAAACAAACACTCAATACACAGAAGACAGAAAAATTATAATAAGATTTCAATAGGACAAGTAACGTACAACAAACGTTATAACATTTTCAAGATTGTATAACTACTCAATCGTTATATAGAACAGCAACATTACAAAACTCTTAGGAGTACTTACCAAAAGTTTTACATTACGTTTGTGATGACATTCGTTCATACAACTTAGATGTGAACGTAACGCGGGAATTTGCAAATTTTATTATTTTTCATAACAGATGCTGAGCACGCCACAGACGCTCCAGCGTAAGAAGTCACTACCAGATGTTGCCGCCATGCCGCGAACTGCTGACGGCGGAGGAATGTCACGCGAAGAGGTATCAGCACTTGGCTCGGCGCGACGTGAAGAAGTCCGACGCATACACGAGGAGACAGAAAAGCTAAGAGCTAACCCTCTCCTCTACTTAGTCAGTCCGCAAGTAAAGGTAACGTTGTGACGATCTTTTAAAAAAAACGAATTATATTCAGTGCCTTCCATAGCAGTTTTTATTAAACCGATATCATTAGTCTGAGATTTATACTATCAGCGGAAGGTTTTATTGTAAAGAAAACTTTAGTCAAGATTTCATTGTATACGATGTACAAAAAATGAATGATCTTTCTTAAGTTTCTAATCAAATTAAAATGAATCTTTCTTTGTTTACAGGACTGGTTTTCACGACAACAACTAGTGATTTTAGTACTTTTTATCAACATTTCTTTGGGTATCATGTTTTTCAAGCTACTCACGTAGCGTCGGCGTGTGGCGCTTTTGCGCCCTCTCATCACACCATTTTTGTATATACTTTTATTAAAAAAAATGTTGAATAATGTAATAACGATGCAAGTCCAAGTAAGATTATTAAAAACATCATGAAAACGGTTACAACGGTTTGAATCACACACATGTATAGCTTTGTAAAGAATGGAATTAAACATGATGTTATTTATTAATGTTGATTTGCTCGTAAACGTTCTCAATGTTGTGTAAGTGTGAGATATGGTGCAAAATGGCACACCCTCTTTACGCATCTAAACTTTAAACGTTCTTACTGGTGTGAGAGTGAAACCTTCTGGCCTCTTCCAAAAATTTCGAATGTACGGAGCATGTAATGTTAATAAACCTGCATATTGTAGGTTTTACTCGTCATATAATTTTGAACGACTTGCGCACTTTTCATTGTTCGCTCTGAGTTATGATTTTTTCATCATTTGATAAATACATTCATTTATCTACTCATGTCACACAATCTTTTGTTTCTCGTCTATAGCTTATACAAATATAGTTTCGTTGTAAATTATTTTGTTAAATTCTATTGGATATTCTAAATATCTACTAAAAGTTTTGTTTCGTAAAATTTTATAATACATATACTTTTGTTCTTAATGTATTTTCAAAAATGCTTTTATTAAAGTTGTAATAGTTTGTCAGATTTCTTTAAATATTTAAAATGACCAATAGATACCTACTTATAAACGTAGTTTAACTAATTATTGAGTCCATAAAAACGTAACAAACTTGTAAAATATATGTTACTTATTGTCAAACGGTGGCATATGTAGATTATCAAATAAATAGAATCTTTTGATATACATACCGTCGATTGTCTAACTTATAGCCGAAAAATAGAATGAGTAATATTTTCCTACGCTGTACAGTTAAATTTCAAAATTGTTAGGTTCTAAATTACGGTAAAACTTGAATATCTAGGTATTGAAAAAAATTGGTGCACAACATTTTTGATAAAAGTGTAGGTTTGTAATACATTAAAGTCAATTTTCACGTAATCAAAATTTTTATACATAAAATATATGTATAATAATGATTTTTAAATTTAATGATAACTTAATGTTTATTAATATTTGATGTGGGAGTTGTGCGAATGAGACTGTTGATTACATTGTACCACGAAAGTTGTTGACATAAATACGCGCAATTGTTTGAAAGTTGAATTAATGTTCGTAAGACAATTTTCGCAGTTTCATTATTGTATAAAAACATAGGTTATGTCTTTAAGAGTTTTAATTACTTGTATCAATTTTATCTACGTTTCACAAATAAAATATTTTAACAAAACAACAGATAATATTTAATTTTCCTGTTTCCCAATGTTTTCTTTTTTATAACACCGATAACTCATATCATTATGACTTCTTATTTTATACTTTACTTTTTCATACTTCGATACATTTCTTTTATATAAAAAACAATCAAAACTTTATAAAACCTTTTTTACTTGAGTCGTGCATATTCATATACTACGAAGTCACGAATATTATTTTCTTATCTCTATCTATAAGTTTGAGGACCAATCGGTCAATGTAGGTTCAAGCTACGTAGAAAGAGGGAGAGGGTAGGCAGCTTTTTTCTCTATGTACCGGGGCCCTTGTCCACCTATCTATGCCCCTGTCGAAATACCTTTAATAATACGGCTCCGTACAGTCGTAAAGTGCGAATATCTCCTTTTTCTCCCAGGGGAGCGGTTGGCCATTATATCCCCTTATTAGAAAAAGATCAAATACTTAGGAGTCCTTACGTACAAAACTGTAACAAAGTTCATTTGTAAAGGTCACAAAGCATATGAATGGGTTGAATGAATTTAAAAGACATAAAACATACCTACTGTTAGAAGGAGAGACTTCTAATGCGACGTTGTGGCAACGAATGAAAACTTCTCTGAATGTATGAATCAATCAGGTGTAGTTGTATAGGATGTTACAAAATTTGTTTCTTTTTTTATTTAATTACTTCGTTTGAAAAATATATTTTTTTTAGTTATGGATTTTTTAACGTTTTATATTTTTTATGATTATTGGCAAGTAGCGTTAGACGTGTGTTCATTTATTGTCGTGGTTGTAACTACACGCTGTATAACCAATTAGTTTATCCTCGCCTTAGAGCACGGCGAAACCAACACAACGCGTACTCAAAGCACACTAGACGGCTCTCACAGCCCCCAGGCACTGATTATGAAAATACAATCAATATCCATCGGGTCCATTTAGGTCTTTACCGAACCTCGATGGCCTGTAGGTCACATTCCTCCCTTTCATGTAATGCACGTGTGCGACTCTACCCAACGCGGAGCGCCGTATCAAGGTCGAATGATAATATTAAATGGCATAATTGTTAATCATCGCTGATACAAGAATGGGTAGTATTCTGGTAGAATAACAATGGCCGCACGGAAAACTGACAAATAGAAGATGTATTTATTCTGTTATGGTAACCGGGGCCTACTATCTAAAACAAATCAACGCAATTGCGACATAAAGTGCATTGTAGATACATATAAGCTAATCTCGCTCGTTATTGACTTGTTAAAGATATATATGAACTAGATTATACTCGGCCCCTTCCTAGAGCTTCAATCACTTAATTACTACATTTGAGCTACACCTTGGTAATGAAGTATTTTATTAAGCACGTTTTAAGCGTTCCGTACCTCAAAAGGTAAAAAAGGACCCCTCATAAGATCGCTCTCTTGTCCGTCTGTCCGGATGTCACCACCGATTTTCTTAGGAACGGTTGGTTGCAATTTATACCAGATACTGAAATCTATAATCCCTATTAGGAATATAAAACTCAAGGTCCTGGGTCAACAAGATAAAAAGATATGGATAAATTTACATTTTCGCGAAAACTTGTAAGAACCAAAATTTACCTTAATTTTCAACTTTTTTATATTTTTCGAAATTTTCCCTTTACTTGTGCTGTAAAACCTTGCTTTTACCATTATTGACAATTCTAGGTCAACCGGAAGTAACCTATAGATTTTGGGTCCAAAACCTAGCCGGTTTTTTTTTTTCAGTAATTTCGTAGGTATTTTAATTATCTCAACCCGTCAACAGTTAATGGGTCAGCGTATCTGCCACTACGTAGATTTAATAAAGAATAATATTATTCACTTTTATAATAAGTAATTTTTCTCAAAATAACACTTGATTTAATATCGCTTTTAGATACTTATTGAGAACATAATAGAAATAGTTATACAATAGTAGTACTTATCCTTTCTGTTCACACCACGCTTCGATCACGAAATATTTGTCTATTTACAGTATATACATATATGTATGTATAATTTTTTATATATGGTGTGTTATATTAATGTTTATGTAATATGTTACACAATTTTGGATTTTAGCATTGTTTATATTCGGGAATCCATATTGTTATCTCATTTATTTATTGCATTACTGGTAGAGAATGCCAATAGCTATTAATTCCGCCCTTTGTAACCCCTTGTTTAAGGTGTATAAAGAATAAATAAATAATAAAACTAATACTGCACGTCATTTCTCTCCTCGGGTTACAGTCGTATTAGACTGAAAATTAGCTTGGTTTTAGCATTTACATTACAGTTATTCGTGCCAACTTGCCCACACCTTATTCGCGGCATGGGGCAAACACAAGATAAACTAATCAACTAAAGATAATTCGATGAAACTGTTTATCGGTTGTGAACCGAGACTTACAGAAATAAAGAAAATTACAGCAATACCTTGTTTTTTAATTTTTGCATTACATTAGATTCTCGGACACAGTTTAATTTTGATGATGTTTGACGTGAATATTTGAATTAAATCTTTTAAATTTGATTTATCAAAAATCTTATTTACTTTATTTCTACTGGTCTCAACCAGTTTAGGTGGAACAAGAAAATTGTACGTTGTATTGCACGTTTTTCCGGGTAAATTTTCATATTTTTTTTTTCCATAAGAACCTTCCTTTTTTATGTTAAAATTTATCAAGCGAGCAGGCTGTCTGTCTGATGTAGATACCGCCGCCCACGGACATCTACAGCTCCTGAGTCTCTTGCAAATGCGTTGACAACCTTTTCCGATGAGTGAGGTAATCGGTTCCCACGGCCAAGGTTCACCAAACGAAAAGTGAAAGTATAATAATATAATAATATTAATAAATTCCACATCACGCCAAGGGCGTAGTAGTTGCCCGGATAAGCTTGCCCATTCGTGCAAGCGGAAGCTGTTGCGAAGTCCTACCATGGTAAGGACGAAGGTAGCTTGGACTTCAAAGAATATTTGAAAAATAAAATAAGCTGAATTGGTCTAGTCGTTCTCGAGCTTTGCGCTTACCCACACTTTTAGTGATTAGGCTTTATTTCCAAAGATTTATATAAAACTTTTTACGTGATGTAAGCATCTTGACTTTGACGGTTTTTGGTGATGATTTGTCTGAAAAGACCTTGAAATAAAGTGAATACGCGATAATAAAAAAATAAGACAAGACTAGAATATAAAATTACTTGTTAACTCTATTATGTCAATCTGAAAGCATGAACTTTTAAAAATCATGTCTACGATAGCAATTACTATGATAAAGAACTACTTATTATACAATAAATAATTACATGAACACAGACAGTTCAATAATTACGTACTTTTATTTGACGTGATTTTATATTACCATGAATACTTCATGATAATATAAAATTTCTTGCGGACAAAAGAAAAAAAATCATGTGCAATTTTTGCCCTCGACTGGTTCGGGTATTACGATTTGCGAGTGAGATTTGGGACAGGACTAGACACGGGTAGTTGTAAAATTAACCCTCATTAGACAGAAAATTTGGTTAATTTAATAATTACTATTTACAGTTAATACAATATAAATAACGCCGAAACTTTATGTTTCAATTTTTACTTCCTCGTTTCACGTTCGTCAATTAGATTAATGTTGTACGGCTTCCTTCAGTATGAAGGTAGTCCAGTAACCGTAGTATTGAATGAACATCACTTTGACCTAGTTTATTGTTATAGTGCTGCAATATGCCGAAAAATATTAAAAATAATAAATACGGTAGTCGGGAAAATATGCCGGTATTAATCTAAATAATTAAATTGAGTTGTAGTATTTTATTTTATAGGATAATAAGTAGTGTAAAAGTGTGTTAGCAAAATTTTTATCCTATGTACTTGTTTTTGTAAAGTTAAGTTTGGTTACATTAGGAAAAATTATGTGTTTTTTAAGGAAAAAGATGCAAATGAAGAGGACCCTATCGACCTGGACGACTTATTACCGAAGATTGGTGAATTCGGCATCTACCAAAAACTGCTTCTTTGGCTTGTGTGTTTGCCTGCGTGCTTACCATGTGGTTTCTGTGCATTTAATCAACTGTTTATGACGGACGTGCCTGATTATTGGTGTCTGGTGCCAGAATTGCAAAAATTAAATTTAACCCATGAAGAACGTAAACTTTTGTCAATTCCACGGAAGGTAAATGCGTATTGCTGTGTTCACTTTCTCAGCCCAATTAAAAATAATTGACATAATTCAATTAGTCCTTAGACAAGAAAACAATTGATTACTTTTTGTACTTAGAGGGATATAATTACGTTAATGCTAAAATTCACCCTCGATAAAATACATAAGTAAATTATATTTTTATTATTATAATCGCATTTTTTCTATTCAATGATATTAAAAATAAGAATATAAGATAACTAGTGACATTAAAAAAAATTAAGAAATTACATTAATAAATTTATTTGTATATGTTATATTATACATAATAATATCATAATTTTTTGCATAAATAAAAACCTTAAAAAAAGTTATAAAAACTATAAAATTAAAACAAAATCTTTGAATTTACTTTCTATAGGCAGATGACAATACAACTTTCGAGAAATGCGCTCGTTATTCTGTAAATTGGACCGAGATAACATTTCCAGATGGATTAGTTAAAATCAATAGCAGTTGGCCTGTAGAACCTTGTTTAGATGGGTATGAATACGACAAATCCGAAGTAACATCTTCAGTAGTAATTGACGTAAGTTGTTAATATAAAAATAATAAGTTGAGCAATAAGAAACTCTATCAAATGAATATTTTTTAATTTAAAAAGTTTCAATATTTTATTTTATTCAAAGAAATTAAATATGAAATGTAACATTCTGCGTCGCTCTTTCTGTAATATGTTTATTTATAATACGTGTACATATTAAAAGTAAAAAGTAAATTAACATCCTAATATGTCCCACTGCCGAGCACAGGCCTCCTCTGTGCAGAGGATATTAGGGCATAGTCCACCACGTGACCACATTTTGAATGTGCACACTTCACACATCTTCGAAATATTAGTTCGAGTGGCGTTGCTACTTTTTAATAGAGTGGGCTCCGGTTACCTTATTCACCAGAAGAAAACGCGGAAATATAACACTTCCACTTAACGCCGGTCTTCTGTGAGGTCATGGTACTTCACCGGATGAACCCGACGTTACAGCGAAAACTGTTGCGTGGCCTTCCACCAAATGCACGTGTTTATTAATAGCATGTTTTTATTTTACAGTTTGATTTGGTCTGCGACTTCGACGTTTATCCGACACTTGGCCTGGTGGCTCTTAATGTTGGGGGACCAATAGGCGTGTATACATTTGGCATATTAAACGATCGAATAGGTCGCAAGAAATCCTTTTTCGCTTGCCTAACTACGCTTCTTATCGGTAGTTTAATGACAGCATACGCACATGAATACTGGTTTTGGGTCCTCGCTAGGGCAGTTGTTGGTTTGACAATACCGGCTGTGTACCAAATACCATTTATAATATGTATGTAGTCAACTTATTCCCTTAAATACGAATTTCTATTAATTTAGTATTGTTATCACTTAAGACGGAATACATCAGATTCCTTTGTGTTTCAGCGTTGGAGCTAGCGGGACCCAATTATAGGTCATTTGTCACCGTCATGACGTGTATATTTTACACTTTAGGGTTGGTCTTGCTATCTGGCGTGACGTACTTGTTACGTGATTGGAGATCACTGGCATTAGCCACATCAGTTCCATTTTTCCTATACTACTTATACTGGTTCGTATTGCCGGAGTCACCTAGATGGTTATTAATGCGTAAAAGATTTGAGGAAGCCAACACGATTCTTAAATCAATAGCCAGAGTTAATGGAAAAGAATTACCAGTTGAGTATACTAATAAAATTCAAAGACAGGTTCTGGAACAAGCTATGAACGGGGTGAGGGAAAGTGAGAACGCAAGTATGTTTGCACTGTGTCGGACACCTAACATGAGATTAAAAACGTTCTTGATCACACTAAATTGGTGCGCCTCGGAAATGGTATACGTTGGCCTGAGTTACTATGGACCCGCTATAGGTAGCAACCAATATATGAGCTTCTTCCTCTCATCAGCCGTAGAAATACCAAGTTACCTTGTTTGCTGGGTTCTAATGGATAGAGTTGGACGGCGATGGCCATTATGTTTATCAATGGTAATAAGTGGAATTTTCTGTATCGTCACGGTACTATTGCCAAATGGTAATTAATATTAAATAATACTTTGTGTAACCATTGAAAACTTCAGAGTGGATATCTTTTTTGAGGGCTGATAATAATGTTCTTCACGTGTCAGTATTTTGTTTTTATAAAGCCAGTAAGGCAGAAAATTACAGAGTGCAAGTAAAATTACAGAGCGTATTACCACGCTCCGTCATTTTTTGTCTTTTCTCTATCTAAACAGAATTTCTTTTAACCATTGCATATCAGTAAAACTTGGGACCATTAGTATTAATATTATTAATTTTTTGTTATTAAATTCTCAAGAAACTTCTTTGACTTTCATCTGACTAAAATCTGACATTGATCTGAATGAAGACTTTCATGTTGAGGCAGCCTTTTGAAGATGTATCGCTTTAATCGCATTGGGTGAAGCTTTATAATGTACATACAAATTTATATCTATTAATAAATTACAGATGCTGAAACGGAAACTCTTATCCTGTACTTGATTTCAAAATGCTTTATTTCTGCATCGTTTCTCATAATATATCCCTATGCCGGAGAACTGTACCCAACAGAATTAAGGGGTGTAGGTATCGGCACGTCCGCATATATTGGAGGATTGGGTTTAATCATAATACCTTTCGTTAATTACTTGGTTAGTTCTTTATTTAGTAACAATATCATAAAAATATTATTTCTTAATATTTATGATTAATCAACTCAAAAGCTTGTAATATATATAATTTGTACGACGGTACGTTTTTAAGCACGAGTATCGCGCCGTAATCGACTTTCTTTACCAAGCAAAGAAAGTCTCTTCAAAAGTAATGGAACAAATGTTGTCAATTTAAGGCGACTCTTGCCCGGGAATTATTTATTTTATTTATTTATCTAAGTAGATACAAACGTAAGTTACAAAACATGAACTCTACAATGATGGTTTACAAGTCGCTCAATCTCTATAAGTAAGCAAGGCAGGGAATGCGACCCATTAAAGTGAGCCCTTCAGAACTTCTGAAAGAGTGACTAACGATGAATGGAGAAATTTATAGGAAATCTGATACAGCCATTTTTTAAATTTTTCATGGTAATTACAACATGACTAACGTCTTTGAAAACTCATGGTAGCCATCTTTTGGGACTGGATTATGAATCGATTACAATAATAAAAGCGTAGAATAACCGGAGAATACTACGCAGTAATTCGGGAGCAGTTAATAGAAAATCATGAAAACGCTCCAATCTTCAAAAGTTTAAACATGTTTCACCCACATATTTAAACATATATCGGATATTTTTGTAAACGGTGCTTCCGCTGACTAGCCAGACTATTCGAAAAATAAAAGACGCCACTCAGCGTTCCCACAGTCCAAAACTCCATACCACATTAAGAGTATTAAATATTTCCAACTGTTCTAGGGTTCCAGCAACTTAGTTTTGCCTCTGGTGGTTATGGGTGCGGTTTCAGTAGTTGGTGGACTCACAGCTCTTAGACTCCCTGAAACTCTACATTGTTCGTTACCCCAAACAGCGGAAGAGGGTGAAGAATTTGGAAAGGATTGGACATACGCTGACTGCTTCAAATGCGGTGGACAGAGGTAAAAGTTTTCAAAATCAAATCAATTCCGCATCTATAAATGTGATAAAATCCAACATTTTATAATTCAAAAATCTGCACAAACATTAATTTCATTGAAAACGTACTTATACAAGTACATATAAATATTAAATATTAATAACAAGTGCGAGTCGAACTCGTACGCCGAGGGTTCCGTACCTAGATATTATACCGCCCTAATAAAATTGCTAAATAATCATCACCGACTTTCTCAGGAACGGAACTCTAGTTACACACTAGCAAGTTGTAATTTATACTAGATACTGAAGTCTATAGTCCCTATCAGGATTAACATTTTTACACATAAGATGTGTCAACACGATAAAAAGATATGGGCAAATTTAGATTTTCGCGAAAACTTATAAGAACCAAAATTTGCCTTAATTTTCAACTTTTTTTTATTTTTCGGAATTTTTTCTTTATTCGTGAAATACATTCGTTAAATAACGAAAAAATTCTGAAAAAATGATCGTGATTGAACATTTCGTGATTCTAGGCCAACGGGAACTACTATATAGGTTTTCGACCCTTTTTTTTTCGTGGGAAAAATCCTTTATATGGGAGTCCCGGTGAGAAACGCATACCCATTAAAAAACCCACGTTGCACCTGTCTCGGTCGCATCGACCGGGGATACGGGAACAGGTGGACGCAATCTTCCGCGACCCCGACGCGACTATGGCCTTTTTAGGCCTCCTCTACTACATGGTGCTGTGCCGGTGCAATTGGCACAGCACACATCACGAGCCCCATATTGAGCGACAGACACCCACATGTCTGACACTCAGAGTCTCACTATCAGGGGGGAAGGTTGCGCGCATAGGCCAACCTCCTGCGCCCTGGTCTCCGGCGGCGGATTTCTAGGGTGGCAGTTGCCTCCCTTTCTCTCTCCGCGACCTCCTTCCGGGTGATAACGTCATCGCAATATGCGAGGACAGCACCCCACGCTCTCTCGCTGTCAACCATAGCGCGAACCACGGCTGGCAGCGAGAGGTCGTGCCCCACGATAGCGCATAGAGCTATGCGCTGCTCCGTCCAGGCTGAGCACTCCTCCAGTGCGTGTTGGGCCGTCTCCTCGGCACGTCCGCTGTGGGCTCAGGTACAGGTACCTCCCGAAACAACCATGTCCCGAGAGGATCTGCGTCGCACGGTAGGTGAGGGTGCCGTGGCGCCTGTCTAGCATGTAGGTTTTCGACCTAAAACCTATAGGGTATTTCCGGTTATTTAGATGATTTAGGTGGTTTCCTAGAATTGTCAATTTTGGTAAAATGCAAGATCTTACAGCACAAGATACACGAACAGACAGACGGACAAGAGAATGATCTTATAAGGGGTCCTTTTTTATCTATTAAGGTTCAGAACCCTAAAAAATAAAATAAAATATTAATTACTATATAAATTAATTTCTAAAATACATTTATTTTTCTAACTTACATTATATATTTTCGTGTATCTAATACTGGGTATATTATATTTACTTATTATATTTTTTCCATACATTACTATTTTCAATATTTTACTTTCAAAGTTTTAATTCGTTAGCTAATTACATTCTAAGAAACCTTTCAGTCTAATAAGTTCTAATATTAATTATGACAGCCATGCTACGCTTGCTTCCGATTGACCCCAGCGAACCTTGACTGAAGAACGGCTTTAAATTTCTATATTAGGTACTACTAGCGGCTTTGAATTTCCGTTTTAATATTTATAAACTTGCATGATTAAAGTTCTGTAGCTTATGGTTAAATTATTGTTTACAGATCAATGACAGAGACCGAATCATATGAAAACCTGGACCAATTGGAATTAACGCAGCCGCCCTCGGTGGAAGATAAACTTTCTGATATGCCTAATATTAGACGAAGTTCTATGCGCAAACTTGTTCGTCAAGCCAGCATTGTCGAAACTCAACGAGATTTGGATGGAAATATGAAAATGACATATTGGTTTTAAAAGTATTAAATTTTTTTAAACATAGGTACATATTTAACTTGCTATAAAATTATTATATTATATTGGAAGCTGCAAATTAATTATACGATTTAAGTATAATATAAGATATATGCTTATGTATCTAAATTAGCATCTTATGGTACACATCAATGCGGACTTATTGTCGTATATACGTCATTCACCAACAATTTTGAAACTGGCAGTATATAAGTATCCCTGTGGCAACCAGTACTACCTTTTTTATTTATTAATTTACCAAAGAAACTAAGGCATCTCATAAAAATCGCAAAGAGCAATGGATAGTAAAAGTCAATGATAGTTTCACATTTTACAACATAACTTTTAAATAAAAACATTGAAACCAAAAATTGAAAACAACAATTCTTAACTCTTCCTAACGTATGAAATTACCGTTTTATTTTACTTCTTTATGTAAAAAGTGAGTAAACAAGCAGGTACTTTGCTGATGCAACGACAACCTTTAAAAAAAGTGGGCCCCAGCTACCTAACTAAAAAGAGGAAACTCGAATATGTAATACTCTCCCTTGACATTAAATTATACCTTCGCTTTGCGTTTGCTGAGTGAGGTATTTTATATGTCTTAACATCGGGTGAACCATCTGTTGCTTGCCAACTTTTTACATAAAAATCAAATTTACCATAAATTAAAAAAATCTGTCAGTTTTTGTGAAAAATATCCGAACAGAAACTGTATTAACGGCCATTTTCAATAACCTGTCTACGAATATCCCTCGTTTCAGTAACTAAAGATATACAAATGTATATATAGATATACAAAGGCTCTTACTTTCTTTTTAATAACCTATCGTCGCGCCGGTTAGAAATCCACACCAAAAAATGATGAAAATGTAATGCACCAAATCTTTTACTGAAATTATATTCCACTTAGCGAAATAAATGCAGCCCCGGATCTTCAATTTTTTTGGGTGGGGCAAAAAACTGAGAAATGCCGCCCACGCCCACTTATTATATTTATTTTTAACTTTATCATCTATATAATTTCAGCTATCAGATGTCCACTAATTGATTGACATTTGAAGAAAGCCTACATAAGCCTTTCAGAAATTTGCTGTTTTTTTGCACGTAAAAAAGAAAACGGGACCTTTATTAGTTTCAAAGTTTTAAAGTTGACAAATTCTGTAAATCTGACAGTTTAAACTCACAGGAGGTTTAGACTCAGTAGTATAATCATTTATTGAAATAAAAACAAACCTTTATTTTTTTTTCAAAAAAAAAAATTCCCTAAAAAACGGAACTTGTTGACAATGCGGTAGTCATTCATAAATGCATCGTATACTTTTGAAACGAACTTGTTTGCGTGTTATTTATGAATGATCGTGCGTAAAATATATGAGTTGCCCATAAATCACGCACTTTTTGAGATGTATTTAATTAATTACGAATGATTTTAAATATTTATCATTTTATATAGCATTATTTATGTCTAGAATTTAACAAAAAAATGAATACACATACAAAAGCCTCCCTGTACAATTTCAGCTATGCAAATGTCCACTAATTGATTGACATTTGAAGAAAGCCTACATAGGTCTTTCGGAAATTTGCTGTTTTTTTGCACGGAAAAAAGAAAACAGGTACTTTTATAGTTACAAATAAAGTTGACAAATTATGTAAATCTGACAGTTTAAACTGTTAGTTTTACAGAAATGTAAAATATACTATGTGACACTGAAATTTTTCGACTTTGGCGTTCGAAGCCCCAGTTAAGTTACTATTTATTTATTTCAAACTATAAGCGTTCCTGTTTTCTTTTACCGATATAAGTACAGGTAGATTTTTGAGAAGTGCCCAAATTTACACAGGAGGTTCAGACTCGGTAGTATAATCGTTTATTGAAATAAAAAAGAAAGTTTCAAAAAAAAAATGCCAGTCTATTCCCTAAAAAACAGAACGTGTTGACAATGCGGTAGTTATTGATAAATACTTAAATTTTACTGTGCACGAACTTGTGTGCGTGTTAGTTATGAATGATCGCGCGTAAAATAAATGAGTTGCGTATAAATCACGCACTTTTTGAGATAAGTTCAAATGAATGTAATTAATTACTTACGAGTGATTTTAAATATTTATCATTTTTAATAGAACATTATTTATGTGTATAATTTAATTTTAAAAAATGTATACACTTAAAAAAGCCACCCTGTATAGACATAAACGTGTAGGATATAATTATATTTTATACACACCACAGGATTGGATTTAAAATAAAAATATGCATAATGAAAATTAAAATCAAATATATTAAAGGGAATTGAAATTACAATTTTACTCTTCGAGCTTTTTTTTCAGCAAATAAATCTATGACCTTGTCATAATTTAACTCGAGTGCAATTCGATTTTCCATCGCTAAGATTGCAAGACTCGTTAAGCGTTCCTGGCTCATAGAAGATCGCAAATAATTTTTAATTAGTTTTAGTTTGGTAAAACTTCGCTCACAGCTTTCAGCTGTAGTGGGAAGCGTAGAGTAAATTCGCAGGGCAATATAAATATTAGGTCCTTACATATGAAATTGGCGTTGTGTATGGGAGGAATATAAAGTCCATTTTTTTTAAATGTATTTCACCAATCAAAGTATGCACCGTTGTTAACTATGCACTTTTGCCATGTCATAGGTAGTTCATTGATCCCTTTACTAAAAAAAACATGGGGGCGAGAATCAATAAACTCTTTAAAGGCGGTTTGAGTCTAATAATCTCTTTAAAGGCGGGCGCATCGGAGTTGAATTTTTTTCCTTGTAATTTCCGTGTCTAAATTCCGGAAAAAATGGGAATCTATTGGAGCAAGGTCTGGGGAGTACGGTGGATGCAGACATTCCAATTGTAGCTCATCTAACTTAATGGTTGTTTGTTGTGCAGTATGTGGTCTTGCGTTGTCGTGAAGCAGCAGTGGCGTAGAGCGATTGACCAATCTCGGTTGTTTAGATTTGAAATCTGAAAATCTTCCCAGTTATTACAGAAAGAACTAAAACAAAAAAAAACAATAAAAATATACAGCGTGTCGTTACCATCACGACAATAAATGAACACACATATAGGGGATAACTTTTTAAAGTTGTATTAAACATTTAAATTCTTTAAACATCAATATTTACGGAAGTTATTAAATTTTGCAAAACAAAGAATTTTAGAACACCCTTCCTTACCTATAAAAGCGTAACGTAAAGTTCATTTGTAAAGGTCACAAAGCATATGAATGGGTTGAATGAATTTAAAAGAGACAAAACATACTGTTAGAAGGAGAGGCTTGTAATACGACGCTGTGGCGCGAGTTGTATAGGATGTTACAAATTTTGTTTCTTTTTTACTTAATTAGTTTGTTTGAAAAAAAAAATTATTATGGATTTTGTTTAACGTTAATATTTTTTTATGATTATTGGCAAGTACAGTTAGACGTGTGTTCATTTATTGTCGCGATGGTAACGACACGCTGTATGTTTAAAGTAAAATGTTGTTAGTACTCAAGCAAACACTGATTGCTAGAATGTTGTTTGCTATTCAGTTAGTGAAGTAAGCATTAGCTATACGGATAGTATCGATATCAATAACACTTTAATGATAGATTTAAGTGAACATGTAATAACCAATACATTTATATCATAACCACAGCTATAATTTTACTATAAACAATCATGTTCATCTGCAGGTTACTTATTTTAATTGTTTTACTAGGAGTTACTTTGTTTAATTTTGTAAAAAAAATTGATAAACGCAACTGACAGTGTCATTGCATATCATCTCAATCGAGCATGATTTGTTCATAAAATGATAGAAACAAAAAAGCCTTATTTTTATTATTATTTTCCTTAATAAATTCTTTAATTCACTACACGAATTTCTATACGGAGCAAAAAACTTGTTGGATCCCAAAATTTACCACGGTTGTAACTAAAATATCGTTAATTTTTTTTTAAATATGAACACAACCCTAACAACTAACTAAAGGATGAAGTTGCGATAGGCGATTATTATCTTTAACTCGAAGAGATAAAAACGAGTTGTGAGTGCATTTTGCGTTCGAGAAATCTAGCGTCGAGTGGCAGTACTTGCTTGATATTTTTTCTTGTAAGACTTTGAAAGGAAAAACGTCATGGCCCCTGTACGCATTGGGCCAAAGCGTTTGCGTTCGCGGTGTGTAGTGTTCACACATTTGCTGCGTCGGACCAGTGGCGGACTAACTGGGGGGCGGAAGGGGCGGCCCGCCCCAGGCCCCCGGTCCTGCGGGGCCCCCAAACGCCTTCATGTTCGGCCAGTCTAAGGCTAGCTACGCCACTGCTGCTAATATTCAAATGTCTATACAGTTTTAGTTCCACTTTCTAATATATATAAAAATGCTTTCCAATACATATTTTTTTCTATCCTCGGCCCTTTGCTAAAAGATATCTTATCATAATAAATAATAAAGACAGTAATACGATAAATAATCAATTAAAAAGATCAACTTGATTTAAAAAGCTACCTTACTTTAACCAGTAAGTATATCTATACCAGTATACCTATAAAAGTATATTAAAATATAAGTTGTCGTGCCTTCACTTTACCGAACTTCTAAATAACTTCAGTGAAATGAACTTCTTTTAAGACACACAAAACTACTGGAAATAAAAACTACCTATTACTTTATTTTTATAAATTGATTTTTTGCCGATCGATTCTAATTTTATTTTTCTCATCCATATCCATATATCTTGCAAAAATTTTATTACATAAAAAAAAGCTTATACGAATTTGAAGTGAAACTAAGTAAAAAGCTTGTAAAATTAGATCAACTTCTTAAACCTCATCAGCTTTGCCGCCCTGGGCCTCAGAAGGACTTAGTCATAAAGTAAAGTAATACTACGGAAACTTAGTCCACCACTGCGTCGGACGCACCGTCAGAGGTCCCGCCAAATAACACTACACGAGTGTGCAGTGTTATTTGGCGGGACACGATTCGGCTTGCCGGCCAACGTTCGCGCCAACTACGATTTGGCACAAACGTTTCGCAAAACAGCCCTCTATAAGTCTACACATTGGCCCAATGTGTACAGGGGCCTTTACAAATACATTGTAGGTACGTCATTCATAAAATGCAATGTTAATGTATAGACTATAAGGTGTGTTTTTCAGTTAATAGCAATTCAATGTAAATTTAAGTAATTTAAGTTACATATTGTGAATAGTAATTAAATATTGCCAATAGCAGAATGTACATTTGTTTGTAGTTTAATATACGACACAAGCATTACTTGTATGAGTTTGGCGACAGCGGGTCCGTTACTAAGGACTGTGAAAACCATTTCCACTGTTTTCTCTATTGCGTGGGTTGACCTATCTACTAAGGGGTTTAATGGGGCCCACTTTCATATTCGGAGCCAACTGCCGTTAGCCGATGTGCTATGGGTCCAAGTCCTCCATAAAATCGACCCACGTGGGCTCTCCGTCCGAAGCATTCTTGCTCCGAACAAATCGTAAAGTACGTTAATAGTTGTAAATTGAACGACAAAATTAATTTATTCCGAACTTCTTTGTTCGATACGTCGCTTAAAGCATACGCATACGCCAGTGTCTATTCTCGCCAAACATTGGAATTCGATTCAAGTTTTCAAAAAAATACAGATTTCTTTGTTGTGCTACCGGAACGCATCGCGACTAAAGTTGCTATTTCGAAAAAGTGATAAATATCAACGAAATAACACCTTTACTTTATTGGCTCAAAAACCTACAGTTAATGTCACGAAAAGTAAAAAACTGCAAATTATCATATTATCAGTATTTGCCACCTGTCATTTTGTCAGAGTTTCAGTTTCATTTGATAAAATAGCTTCCATAAATTTGAAGAAACGCTTTATTCTGAATTACCATGTGGATCTTTATGAAGTCGTATATTATCTGCTTTATTCTTTTATGGACATCAGTTATCGTTCTTGGACATTCCCACTCACATTTAAATGCAGATGAGAAACCAGCATACAAATATTCTGCTAGTGCAAATGAAAAACCTAAAGTTAATCAAGAAAACGAACCTCAAAGTGACTATGATTTGTATGTAAAAGCCTTAGGTTCAACAATATTCATAAGTATAGTGCCGTTCTTTATTTTGTTTTTTATTCCAATTGATGGAAGTGTCGAAAAGCAACCGCTTTTGAAAATATTATTATCCTTTGCCTCCGGAGGACTTCTCGGCGACGCATTTCTCCATTTAATACCACATGCACTAACATCGAATGATAATGGACATGGTCATAGTCATAGCCATAGCCATAGCCATTCCAGTGAGAATGCCAATCATGAACCCCATGACATGACAGTTGGTCTTGGAGTTCTGGGCGGAATTATAACCTTTCTGGTCGTAGAAAAAACAGTGCGTTTGTTTAGCGCCGGTCATGGCCACTCACATAGTACGGACAAGAAAAAAGATGGTGAAAAATCAAAGAAAGCAATTAAATCCAAAAAAGATGATATTAAAATTGCAGGATACCTTAACCTGGCAGCTGATTTCACCCACAATTTTACAGATGGATTGGCAATTGGAGCTTCATTCATAGCTGGAAAAAATATTGGCTACATAACTACAATCACTATATTATTACATGAAATTCCTCATGAAATTGGAGACTTTGCAATACTTGTACAATCAGGTTGTTCTCGAAAAAAAGCAATGATGTTACAGCTGTTAACAGCATTCGGAGCCATATCTGGTACAGTGATTTCAATATATCTCCAGGGTTCTAGTGATGGACTTGTTTCATCCCTTATTTTACCATTTACAGCTGGTGGCTTTATATACATAGCAACTGTTTCTGTTATTCCAGAGCTATTGGAGGGCTCTAATAATAAACTATCACAATCAATTAAAGAAATAATGGCTCTTTTGGCTGGGGTATATATGATGGTTCTAATTGCACAATATGAATAAATAAATTTTTGTTTTGTAACTAAATAAAATTTGTATCTAACTGTATAAATAATTTGTTACTTAAATCATAATAAATTCATAAGGATTAAATAAAAGCATCACATTGTTTTAGTACAGGAGACCAATATTACACTATTTTAGGAATAAAATTTAGTAGTATCATAATTTTTCTTGTTTTAATGTTATGTTGTGAAATAAGATTATCAAATTTGCATATTACAAAATAAATTATTTTGTATGCACAAATATCTACTTATGTACTAAGAATTGCCTTTCCCTGGCAGAACCTAATTATTATATGAAAGGAGCTTACATGAATATCGTGCAGGGAAGCCCCATGCAATAAAAAGGATTTAAAACATTCCAACTTTCTGTGAACCAGTTGAAGAAATATTAAAACATTTTCATTTGTAACATTTTCATCATTCTATATTCTTTATAACTTTAACAGAACTGCAATCATATGATTGTTATGGTTATCCCAAGTTAGTTGTTATTAAGTGATCTATTTATCATAAAATGTATTAAGATATCACAAGCAACAGACTGTTTTTGTTACAAACTTAATTGTTCTTGTTCAACACAGGTTCCAAAAACAAGCTTTTCTCTATTCATGCTTACAATTGTTACCTGAGAAAGGAATAAAACCTTATTCTGTCACAGTTGCGATTGTATGTTCTGTCACCATCATAAGCTTTATTTCCTTGCATTCTTAACATAGCTTTGTTTGAAAGAAAAGTACTATGCAGCAATAAATTTCTTGTCCTTTTACTGCAGATGGATTTATGATAAGATAATTGAAGAAAAATATTTTTTAAGAGAATATCATGGTAGCTGTGCATAAAATAAAACTAAAGTCCATATAATTCACTTGTTTATTATTTACTTCTTCTTAGATACACCAACAGTACGTCCTCTTCTGCCAGTGGTTTTGGTGTGTTGACCACGCACACGGAGACCCCAGTAATGACGCATACCTCTATGGGCACGAATCTTCTTAAGCCTTTCCAAGTCTTCACGTAGCTTAGAGTCTAAGTTTGAAGAGGTCAACTGACTATACTTGCCATCAACAATATCCTTCTGTCTATTCAAAAACCAATCAGGAATTTTATATTGCCTTGGATTTGACATGATGGTTATAATTTTCTCAACCTGAGGAGAATAGTAATTACAATGATAAAATTAAAATGTCAAATTACAAAAATTTATGTTTTTTTATACATAAATACTATTTTTTTTAAATAAAAACTTTTTTACATGAATTACAATACAATATCAGCCTATTGGCATCCACTGCTAAACCTAATACTCCCCCAAAGTGCGCCTACTATCCTGGTCCATCCACTGCCCGCCACCTTTCTTAAGTTCTCAATCCATCGTGGTGCAGGCTGTCCCAAACAATGTTTTCCTAACCGTGGTGTCCACTAACACGCGTCGGCTCCAGCGACCATCAGTACGTCTAGAGATATGGCCAACCCACTTCAAGTTCGGCATGCATTGTCGATAAATTTAGTTTTCAGGCGAATAACTACATTTCGAATCTTGTCTGCCAGAGAAACCCCAAGCATGGCGCCTTCCATCGGCCGCCGAGCGACCTTGAATTTGTGGACCCACATGAATACTAACAACATAAAATACCATAGCACAAGCTCGCTCGTTTTACACCATACACACGCAGGTTCGAATCCTTACCGCGGTGAAAACATGTACAGCTTTATTTATACACAAAGAATCATTAATCTTAGAATAGAGATTAGCACTCAAAATAAAAAATACACAAAATAATTACAAAAATTGACATTTCTTAATACCATCGGCATGCATTCACCAGCACGCTTATCCAAATCAATGTCAAAGAACGATATTGGGTATCTTCCCGACATCCTTTGAAGCAGTCATGGCAACAACACCTTTCGGCTGCCATCGATATTCGTATTCATTATACGAAGAATATGGAAACTTGTCGGTATTACGAGCGACTAAAACACAGTTTTCAGTTAGTATGAAAATAAATAATACATCTGTATCATAGAAATTTGGTATTCGCCTTCCAATCGGCCGCCGAGCGATTTGAATTTAATGGATAAAATCAAATGAAAAAAAGCAATACTAACAACATAAAATACCATAGCACTAAATCTCGCTCTAACGTTTTACACCATACACACGCAGGTTCGAATCCTACCGCGGTGAAAACATGTACAGCTTTATTTATACACAAAGAATCATTAATCTTAGAATAGAGATTAGCACTCAAAATAAAAAATACACAAAACAATTACAAAAATTGACATTTCTTAATACCTCCTCTTCGGTGCATTCACCAGCACGCTTATCCAAATCAATGTCAGCTTTTTTAAGAACGATATTGGAGTATCTTCGGCCGACTCCTTTGATAGCAGTCATGGCAAACATTACCTTTCGTTTGCCATCGATATTCGTATTCATTATACGAAGAATATGTTGAAACTTGTCAGGTATTACGAGCGACTAAAACACAGTTATAAACAGTTAGTATGAAAATAAATAATACATCTGTATCATAGAAATTTGGTATTCTAAAATCAAATGTAAAAAAAGCATTTGCTTTAATGATTCAATAATAAAAACAAGATTATATACCATTGCGACTAAATCTGATAACCTAACGTCTCGAAAAGAACAGGAGTCAACTTAAAAAGAATTGACATAAATTAAACCGTAAACGTCAAACTTACGTCCAGGGCTACAGGTTAAAAATAAAATAACAAATACAGATGTCAATAAGGGGACGAGAAAGACGGATGCACATAAATTAACAAGTCTGTGGAAATTTCCTAGATGGTAAAATTTATCCTTTATCCTTTAATCGAGCAATTCTTGTTCACTGTTCACAATCAATTAAACGAGCATATATATATATATATATATATATATATATATATATATATATATATATATAAATATATATAATCGGAATCTCGGAAACGGCTCCAGAGTTTTTCATGAAATTTCTCTTCCGGCAACTCAGACACACTGCAATATAAAGCTCGTCTTCCTACTTGGCCCTTTTTGAAAGAGCTATACTGTATCCATTGCCCAGAGGCCATGGAAGCCAGTAAAACAAGTGCTAACTAACAGCAAGCCTCCCGGCCTCCAGGGGCAGATATGGTCTGTGGCTCCGCCGCCAACTACGTTTCGGTTACGGAGAGTAGGCGTATTATAACACGGGTGCTCCCCCTCACTCCCCACAGCCCCACCATTGCTGCATCAGCGGGGTAGCCGCAATGAGTCACAGAGGATAAAGACAGTGGTGAAAAGCAATACCAACGCTCCTCTTCCCCTGTGACTCCAGCTTGGTTGTAGAACCAGAATCAATTTCTTCACCTCTACCACCCTCAAACAGTCCGCTCGCACCCTTCTGCACCCATTATGAGTGGAATCAATAAGGCATTCGGAGCAGCCTTCTCGGACCAGCCTACACTGTAGCCCGAGTATATCAACATAGACAAGACGTCAGTCATTTATATTAGGCGGATTTGCAACCCAACCATACGAACTGTAAGCTCAAGAAATTATTATCGAGAACTCCAGCGTTTATCCCTACCAGAATACCAGACAGACCGCTTTCTGCAGAAGCAAAAAAGGAGTGTCTGTATGTATAGACGTTTAAAATTCTTATATTCGATCGCGCTTGTCACCTTTCAGAGAAAAAAACTATAGACGCAGCAGAATTTCGCACGACGAATGATCATAATTCAGCGTTATTATCACAAACATTGTTTTATGCCTTTATTAAACTAAATATACAAAAAGGTAATTTAAAAAATATACATTACATTACATTAAATATACATATTCTCTTTTAATTATGTTTTTAAGGTTTTTGAGGTTACATTTTTCGAGATTTGAATAAACAAATAAGTACTTTTATATAATTAATACTTATTATAGGAAATACTCAAAATACGTCAAAATAGCATAGTCCTAAACTGCAAACCTGTGAAAATTAAAGTTTGTCTATGACTTACATTTTGTGAGTGTTCCCGTGGTGTGCCGGTTTCTACTTTCTTCTGTTACACGAATTCAAGTTAGTTGTAAGTTGTGAAAAAAAAACCAGTGATCTACCATGCTCACGGAAACGACATTATCACTTATACAAATATTAGAAAAGACTATATCCCCAGGTAAATAGAAACATATTTCCTTTTATTGGCATGGCGTTTCTTCTTTATTGTCAACTGACTTATCGCTTAAAGCATGTAACCGCTTTTGACCCTGTTGTATGATAATTAAAGTTGATCAGAATGATGTATAACGTTCTTTTTACACTTTATATTGTAATCTCCCTTGAAACAATATCTTATAATGTAATTACATTTCATTTTATTTGATTTTTACACTGACATTTTTACCTGACAGTCTTAGAAAGAAGTTTCTAGGGTATCTTACTATCCGCGTATGCAATGAAAAATATGCATGAACATTAATATGAATCATAATTTATTCCATTATCAATATTAATAACGCCTTATCGGCTTGATATTTTACTTTCGTAAATTTTTTGGTTAGGTCTTTGTGAATGGACTAAAACACACTCGAATATTTTATTGCTATTTTCGTTTCTTATATGATTTTCAGATCGAAATGAATTGGAAGCTGCTGAGAAATACCTCGATCATGCAGCAGGCACCAACTTTACAACGTTTATTAAGATGCTGTCAGATGTACTGGTACAAGGTGGGAACAGTCAGGTGGCAAGAATGGCTGCTGGGTTACAGCTAAAAAATCACCTCACATCTAAAGACCCCATTTTGAAACAGCAATATCAACAAAGATGGCTTTCATTACCTGAAGATATAAGGCTTTATATAAAGAAAAATGTAATTTATTTAATACATAATATTATTACTTTCTTAAACCTTAAAGTGATGTGATATATATATATATATTTTTTTTGTTCTTTAGATTTTAGCAGCTATTGGTACAGAAAACAGTAGGCCCAGTTCTGCTGCTCAGTGTGTTGCCTATGTAGCAGTGGCAGAACTTGCAGTTGGACAATGGAATGACCTCATAAATGTACTAGTGGAGAATGTTGTAAATGCTCAATCTTCAGAGTTAAAGAAGGAAGCAACATTAGAAGCTATTGGTAAATTGATGAGAATTTAGATTGAAATTGAAGTAAAACTTAGATAATTGTAGTGTAATTGTTGGCATGTTTTCCATTATAGGTTAATTTACCTTCTAAAATTTACAGGATATATTTGCCAAGAAATCGATGCAGAAGTGTTAACAGAACAAAGTAACCCAATACTCACTGCTATCATCCATGGCATGCGATCAACTGAACCAAGTAATCATGTAAGACTTGCTGCAACTCAGGCTCTGCTCAACTCGCTTGAATTTACAAAAGCCAATTTTGATAAAGAAAATGAAAGAAACTTCATAATGGAGGTTGTTTGTGAAGCTACACAGTCCACAGACATGAGGATTAGTGTTGCAGCTTTACAGTGTCTAGTAAGTTTTTATATGCATTATTTTTTTTCATACTAAATATTTATTGTTAATAGGCATGAATTAACATGTAATCTCTTTTAAAAGGTAAAAATACTATCTCTTTACTATCAATACATGGAACCATACATGGGACAAGCTCTGTTCCCTATTACTTTAGAAGCAATGAAATCTGATGTAGATGAAATTTCGCTTCAAGGCATTGAGTTTTGGTCTAATGTTAGTGATGAAGAAATAGATCTTGCTATTGAAGAAGCAGAGGCGGTAGAAGCAGGTAAACATTTATATTTGTTGAATAAAATTTCCTTATTATTGATTGTGAATAACACCTAGGAATTGTGCCTTTGTTTTGATACAAAGTTTTGTCAAATACTGAATAATTTAAGATTTAAAGTGTGATTTTTGTATTCAACCTTCATTCTTAATGTTTGTCTTTTTCCATCATTCTTGTAGAAGGGCTCTTTAGAAGCTTTGTATGGAAATATCTGATATTTATTTTTTTACTTTTGTAAGATTAGATTTTTTAAAGGGTTAGTATTTATGACAATGACCATTGCAATAACATCCAATCAATTATTGTAAAATCCTTATTAAACTTGCTCAAATTGTTTTTATAATATTTAGGTGTATTAGAAATGTAAAGCTGTACTACCTACCTATTAATCTTTTATGAAATTCATAACCAATATTGTTTCTATTAATAGTGGCCACACAATATACACAATTTTCAATGGCCTCATATTGTCCATAATAAGCCACACAATATAATTTAACATTTGATATATCAATTTTTAAAATCAATTAAGGTGTGTTATAAATTATGAACATATGTTATAAGAATTGTCATATTACATACATTTTTTTAGGGCGCCCACCCGTTAGAACGTCAAGATTTTATGCTCGAGGAGCATTACAATATCTAGCACCAGTGCTAATGCAAAAATTAACTAAACAAGATGACTCTGATGATGAATTGGAATGGAATCCCTCAAAAGCTGCTTCTGTATGTTTGATGCTCCTTTCAAACTGCTGTGAGGATGAAATTGTACCACATGTGTTACCATTTATTAATACAAATATTAAAAGTGATAATTGGCGATACCGAGAAGCTGCTCTTATGGCATTCGGTTCTATATTAGGTGGTCTTGAAGCAAACACTCTTAAGCCGTTAGTAGAAAAAGCAATGCCAACACTTATTCAAGCAATGTACGATTCTAGCGTTGCTGTTAGAGACACAGCTGCTTGGACCTTTGGAAGGATTTGTGAAATTGTTCCAGAAGCTGCTATCAATGATATTTATTTAAAACCACTTTTGGAAAGTCTTGTAAATGGTTTGAAGGCAGAACCCCGAGTGGCTGCAAATGTTTGCTGGGCCTTTACTGGATTAGCTGAAGCTGCCTATGAAGCTGCAGATATTGGTGACTCCAATCAGCCACAAACATATTGCATGTCCAACTTCTTTGACTTTATTATCCAGCGACTTTTAGAAACAACTGATCGTCAAGATGCTGCTCAGCATAACTTGAGATCTGCTGCTTATGAGGCTTTAATGGAAATGGTGAAAAATTCACCTACCGATTGCTATGTTACTGTTCAAAAGACCACAATGGTTATTTTAGAGCGACTGCAACAAGTTTTACAAATGGAAAACCATATATCTAGTCAGGCTGATCGCTCTCAGTTCAATGATCTACAAAGTCTTTTATGTGCCACATTGCAATCAGTACTGCGTAAAGTGACACCCGAGGATGCACCCCAAATATCAGATGCTATTATGACTGCACTCTTGACTATGTTCGCTGGTAATGCTGGAAAAGCTGGAGGTGTCCAAGAAGATGCACTAATGGCAGTATCCACTTTAGTTGAAGTCTTAGGTGAGGGCTTCCTAAAGTACATGGATGCATTTAAACAATATTTATATGTGGGACTTAAAAACCATCAAGAATACCAAGTTTGTATTGCAGCGGTTGGTCTCACTGGTGACATTTGCCGCGCCCTAAAGAGTAAGGTGAGTTATTATTCAATTAAATGTGTATCCTTTGTAAAAAAAAAATGTAAAATTTTAACATTTCTTATTGTTATATTATTGCAGGTGCTTCCATACTGTGATGAAATTATTTGCCTTTTATTGGAAAATCTAGGAGATCCATCAATTCATCGTTCTGTGAAACCGCAGATTTTGTCAGTCTTTGGAGACATTGCCCTAAGCATTGGTCCTGATTTTGAAAAATACTTTGCCATTGTTATGCAAATGTTGCAGCAGGTACATGAATTCAAAATAATAATTTTAAAACCAATAACAACCATTTGGCTAATTGATAACATTTTGTATATTTCAATCTAGGCCAGCCATGCGCAAGTTGATAGAAATGATTACGACATGGTTGAATATTTGGGCGAGTTGCGAGAGAGCGTCCTGGAGGCATATACTGGAATCATTCAAGGCCTGAAGGGTTCAACTGGCGAGGTAATTATATAAGAGCTAGAGAAATATTACAAAGACTAAAAGAAAAAAATAGGTGGTCTCACCTGGCAGATATGCAATATTCAAGTTAATATAAAAACTAGTAATTTTATTAAGTTAGTTAATTAATAGAGAAAATATGGAGTAAAATAATGAATGAAGAGTAGAACTCTGTTAATGTAATAAATATATTGCGATAAAAACAGTATATGGTGGCACACACATACAAGACAGTCTTAAGCGGCTTGGCGGGAGCATGATGGTATCAGTGTCATGGCATTTACCGTGATGGCAAACCCAGTCTATTTTCCTGCCATGCGCCAATAAATGTTTCATATCAAAAAGATATTTTTAAAAACTGCTATAAAAGCAGTTTTTTTGTATGAAGAATTTCCAGTTTTATTCCAAGAAGGCTGTTATTATTAATTAGTAATATTACCTTAAATTCTATATAAAAAAAAATAATAATATAATGATAAATTTTATGTCACAACCTGACATAACCACCACTAGCCCATCTTAATCCCTTCTAATATTATAAATTTGAATATAAGTTTGTTATGATTTCATGCCAAAACTACTCAATCGATTATCATGAAACTTTGTACTCTTGTTCTTACAGTATTAAAAAGGACATAGGATTCTTTTTGTTTAAAAAAATTTTTTTAAATATATTTATTTAATGGCTTCAATGCGAGCGACAACATAGGCGAAAAGCTAGTTATTATATATTTTAACAATAGCTTTGCAGTTAAGGTGCCGTATGCAGTAAAAATAGGTTCAAAAGATTTTTTAGCAAAATCTACACATTTTATAGCAGCAGAAAAAAATGTATGTTAATCTTGATCATACATTGTAATGGAAAATTGTTTCCAAAATATATTCTCGATATATTTTCTCGATAGAAAAAAATCATGAAACTACCTCTAAAAGAGAAATTCAAATCCAAAAAAATGTAATACATCAACAAATCTTAATCAAATTAATATCAGTGGTGTAGAATATATTAATAAAAAGGATTGTTGTTTTACTTTGTTGATTGATGTAGGATATTTGTAAATATTAATTTAATGCATTAAAATTAATTTGAACGCAATGGCCAAAACACCGCGCCACCGCGGCGTTGTTTCGGCTCTCTTCCAATTCCACACGTTGAACATAGAGTGCTGAGGCGCATTGCTAGATGGACCTATGCCGCTCATCGCCCGCTCACCGTTACGAAATATGTTTCGTTTTTATTTATTGACAGTTTTAATATTATTAGACCTTCCAAAACACGAAACTAAAAAATATATATTAACATATTTCGTATTTATAAATTATTTGTATGTATTAACAGTTGTTAATTAATTTATTTAAAGTGTAATTTCAATGTCTTATCTCGTTATTGTTACAGTGTATAGGACCATCATTCTTTATGGATTGGGTTAAAATCCCTAAATTTTTTGTTGTATTTATTGATTTTCTTATTTGGAAATATTTGTTAATTACCATTTAATTTTTGTTGATTTTTTATTTTCATAAATAATTACAACGAAATATTGTTGTATTTGTTCAAAGTTGAAACAGTTGGAGAACAATCTATCAGTAAATAAACCAACTTTTAGTATTAAAAATTTTTAACGTATTTAAATTAGTATTAAATTTTTTTTAGGGTGAAAAATAAAATATTTTAAATATTTAAATATACTTTATCTTATACAATTGTTTTATAATTTTTCTTATTAATTTGTTTATTTCTCAAATAAAGCCATTTTATAAAATAAAAACAAAATAATTTGATGGCTAACAAATTAAAAGTGAAAATAACATAAAAAATACAACTCCACTCAATGAGGGTTTGAACTTGAGACTACACCTACAGCAATAGTTTACCATTGTACATGACGCTTGGACCAACAGGCTACGAGAGGTCTGTGGAAAGTGACAAAATTTCGATTCTTGTCATAATTGCTGTCGTTTATCGATACAAATAAAGATTTTATCTATGGTTTTTTAAATTTCATTTTAGTTGAGAAAGTAATATAACATAGTAAATCTTGAACATTTAAAGGTTAAATTAAAATTCCTAATATATAAAAAAATGTAATAAAATAAGTTGTATTTGTAATTTCTGCAAAAATTTTATGAGCCATTTCTTTAAAATAACAATATAAACCATGAAAACAAAAAATAATTATTATAAGTAATATGCCTTTATTAATTTATTTAACTTTAAGATGTATTTTTAATCAATTCCTTTTCCATTTAATTAAAAAAAAAAATAACAGGAAGATTTTCTAAAATTGTTGATTGCTTTCTCATACTTTATATTTGTTTGTTTATTATTATAACTATTATAATATAAAAGTAAAATACAATCATGGTCTATAACAAATATTACAGTGATCATCTATGTACATTTTCGAAGGCCTTCAATGATACTATCGATAGTATCCTACGGCCCACCACTACACACACACTAAGCAATGAATGACTTCTAGGTCTAGCGGCGCGTCGACAAAACTCGCGCGCTGCGCGCCGCTAGGCGGCGTTACCCCTCCTGCGCTTCCTTGTACTTCACCACCCAAATAGTTAAAAATTCACTGCATACAGCGCCTTAATATTATTAATATTAATGGAGCAATGCCGGCCTTCCTACATCATCAATTGATTGATATTGCCACCAGGTCCGCTCCGACGTGGCGCTGGTGGAGCCCCACGTGCCGGCGATCGTGAACTTCATGATACTGGTGGCGTCGGAGCCGGAGCGGACGGACGGGCACATGTCGGTGATCGCGGGCCTCACCGGTGACCTCTGCACGGTGTTCGGGCAGCGCGTGTTGCCGCTGCTCGAGACGCGGCCGCTGCTCGACTTGCTGCAGGCCGCTCGCCGCTCGCGCACACCCCGCACCAAGACCCTCGCCAACTGGGCCACAAAGGAGATACGCAAGCTCAAGCAGCAGACGCCCCTCACTAGCTGGTGAGCGGCCTCAACCACCCGGTGTATAAATCAGTCGCACAGCATTTTCTTTATTTGCATGAAGGTCTTTACGAGTCCCCCGAATTTGGTTGCGCTCCCGGGATCACCTGCTAAATGCCCATTAGTGCTGCAATATGTTTAACTTTTCTTTGGAAATTAAGTTTATGTGAAAAAGGAGCAATCCTTTCATTAATTATTGTGTTAGTGAATTGATGCAGTCAGTAAGCCATTTTCACAAGGTTGATTATGGATTTAGTCGAGTACAGGCTACACATATGTTTAAAAAAGTTTATAAAAGCTAAAGTTATGTACAGTGGGTAATTGGGACTCATCTGCCACAGGGATTTTTTTTTAAATATTCACATATACTATTATTTAATACATTTTATAATTTCCTCACATGTTTTCCTTCACATACATAAGTATATAGTAAATCAGCAATTGAAATTGCAATCATTCCATTGGTGCCCATTCCAGTATTTGTACTTTGTTTGCTCAAATATTTTAAAAGCAAGTGTCTGAATGCCATAGATTGAAAAGAATTTATTAATGCAAGGTTTTTATATAACTAAATAATTTATCTTCCAACTGCTGGACACTTAATAATAGTGTAAATGAAAATCTGAAGATTAATTCAGTTCTTGACTAATAGAATTGTTCTAATGTCATGTCAATCACGCAAGTTAATATTATTAATTCACTTCAATTAAATAAGAAAATCAAATTATTTGTGTGGCATCAACAACGAAAAAAACATTTAATATAAAATAACCAACATTAGTTTACAACTCATAGTGTTAGTACTTATAAAATTACATAATATATTGATTCTTAAATGGAGTGAAAACCAGTAGCAGGAAATAAGGAACATTTATAGGATTAGAAATGTAATTTGAATTAGTTATGGCATGTCTAAGCCTGGGCAATGAAAAAATATGATAAAATTGTTTAAACATTAAATTACTTTAAAATGATAAAATAATTATAAATTTTTCAGATTTGAAGCGTCGCAAATCGTCAGTAACCTAACGAAGTTTCAGTCATCTTACTGCTGGTAAACTCAAGTATTGGGAGGTCATGTCATTTTTTGTAAGTCGTTTGGTGCATTTGCTGATAGGTCACAATTTCTTTTCTTAGTTTATTATAAAAAAGTCTTCATTCCTTTTAATGTAATTTAAAATATAATATAATTTATTGCCATGATTGTAAGTTATTATAAATTTAAGGGATATTCTGGATTTCTAAATTTTTATTTACTTCATAATATTTGATTTGTGGCCTTTGCTAAATTATCGCAATTAATACTGAAGTATTTTACTAGTAAGTACTCTATATATGACTTACAAATAAAATTATATTTAAACACGACATCTTGGCCCCCTAGCAGTGCACCTAACGCATTCTAGATATTTTGTGTAAGCCTCACCATAATCTTTCCATAATATTCTTAATACAAGTCAAAGCATTTTTTCCTATTTGGTACTGTAGATACAGATAGTGGCTGTGGTATCTTTACTTATGTGACACAAAAGTGATTATATGAAAGTTTGCCTGTATGAAAGTTGATGTATGTTTTTATAAGGCATGCACATATGCAAGGGACTGTGAGTTTTATAAATTATTATTACTTTGTGTAAGGAGCATGAAAGGATGTATGTAAGAGTTGAATAAATGTGAGACGCGTGAATGATTATCACAGATATTTTGTAAATTTAGGCATGTGTCAATCTTATTGAAAGGTTGGTATAATGTATAAGATTCCGTCAACTTTATTCGAGCAAGATGGAAGGACGCCATATTGGTGACAATCCTTTTAATCATCACAGATAAAAATGTCCACTGTTATGGGATGTAAAGGTAACGAGATGAAAAAAAATATTTTCGTATTTGTTTATTTCATTTGTCATTGTTATATAAGTTTGTCAAACAAACTTGCAAATTTTATTGTCGGCCATGCGATTTTGTTATAATTACTACGTAATTTGTGATCAATAATAATAATATAAACTTTTCTGTGATGGTTAAAGAGTAAATTGCCTTCTTATCCGAGGTTCGCATAATTTGTACATATGTAATTAAAAAAAACTTACTTTACAATCTATCGTGGCATTTAACTGCGACGTTTTAACTATCTAACATAATAGTTATTTTGTCTGTTGTTAATCAAGGCATACAAAAATCGCTTCAAGATCCAAAGTGAATCTCAATTTTTTTTCTCTTCAGCTTCTACAATTATAGTCACCAAAACAAGTAAAACAAAAAATAAAAAAACTGTCCCATATCAATTTAGACTGCAGTGTTTTTAAATTACAATCGGCAACTTAAATAAAATTTAAGCTCTCTAATACAACATAACACTATTTTAAATGATCATCCACTAAAAATTGGTGCGACAATAATTTTCAAACTTCCTTTTTTTGTATCTAAACGAGTGCCTTTAAATTTAAACGAATTTTTATCTGTTATGTGTTTTTTTTAACAAGTCGTAACGTTTATTACACTATGTTCTGGTGGGGTGTATTTTGTGCAGCGAAAATTGACAAAATAAGCGCCATTTAAAAAAATCACCTTTGAAGAATTTGTGTTTCAATGTATAGAGTGTCTGCTAGTCTGTGAGCATCACTGACAGGGATGATGTTTGCGCGAATTATGCAAGATTTTTTTATGAGAAGTGTGTCGTTACTCAGCATAGCAGTTTTGCTTTTTACCGGTTTTTTTTTTAATTTGAATGCTTTTGTTGAATCAATTGTTCAGTCGCAGTTCTCGTAATCGTATATAATATATACTTATATCAAGGATGACAGGAGAATATGTAAGAGGACTAGTGCCATGCCGTGAAAGGTTCTGATGTAGAATCATAGGCATTGAAGTCGATGAATACCACCCACTTTTCCTGCGCAAATAAATATTAATTCAAATTATTTTGTTACATCGTATATATCTTTTTGTTATGCCTTCGACTACTATTCTGAAAACTGTTCTACTGTAATAAAATAATTATAAAGTTGCATGTTTTTTTATCACTATGATCGCTATTTCTTCATGGAATTTTTTTATGCAAAAAGTTTGCTAGCGAGCAGGCAGTTTACCTGATGGTAAATGACTACCGCCGCCCAAATACATCTACAACACCGGGCGGTTTACATATGCGTTGCCAACCTATTTAAAAGCAAGCAAGACGTAACACGAAAGTTTAATATTTCAACTTCACGCCGGTTTTCTGTGAGGCCGTAGTCCTTCCACGGAGGAACCTGCCCATTCGTGCAACACGTGCTGCTGCGTAGCGCAACCATGAATAACGATTGTGTATACCACCGATGCATGATAACTCATTTGGTGTAAACAACGAACGTTGGGCAAAAATGAAATAATATATATAATTTAAATTTTTATAGTACTAATCTCTAAGCTTAAGATTCACGACGAAAATCTCAAAGGATTTTATCTACATTGTTTTTCTGATTTTAAACATTTCCAAATATCGTGGTATAACTATAATTCGAATCGGAGATGTCGCCCTTAATATTTGAAATAAAAAATTTTATAGTTCTCAATTTCTGCACTTAAGGAGAAACATTAAAATTTGTAGAAAAAAATGGACGAAAAGTTTTTCGCTTCTGTTTGAAAGTAAATAACAGTGTAAAAGATATTTTAATGTTATTGGAAAAGGTAGCTTTAACAGCTTAACTTGCTAAAAAATAAATGTAGATAAAATACGTTTGGCCGCGCTCCCTATCCTTCGCGACTCGTCGGGGCTGCATCGCTGATGCAGTGGTGGTGGGGCCGCGGGGGAATAGGATTGTCGGTATTGAGGTGCGCCATTTTCTCTACCCTCAGCGGCCGAAACATGGTAAGCGGCGGAGCCACTGACCAGGTCCGCATCTGGGGGCAGGGAGGCTTGCCGCTTATTGGCACTGGCTGCCATGGCCTCTGATCAGCGAACTCGGGGGAGTTTTAAGGCCATGAAAAAGGGGCCGAAAAGGAAGGCTCGCTGAATATTCCAGCACGCCATCCTTACCTTAGAAATGATAGGGTGGATTAGCGGCTATAGCAATTAATTAAAACTTAAATAATACTTGACAACATTGTGTTTACTTGTATATGAGAAAATATAATTCATAATGACACCGCACATCAAAAGTAAAAGAACAATTCAAATGCAGTGTATCATAGACAAGTATACGTGGACAGCATCACGACCTTCCAAGACCTTCTGATGTTCACTCATGTTGCCGAGACACGTTTTTATACATGCATTAATCTTGCACAGGGTCTTGGTCTTGGTCTTGAACTTTAATTTTGACAATGGTTTTGTCATTACGTCATCTAACTGAATTTCTGTGGGATAGTAGCTAATATTTATTAATTGATGCACGAAGTGTTCATGTATAAAATGGTAACGCGCGTCTATGTGCTTCGACCTTTTGTTGAAGGATCCAGACTTCACAAGTTGAATCGAACTTTGAGTATCCACATGAAAAATTATTTTTATGTCCCAACCGGTTATTTCTTGTAATAGAGATTTGAAATACAATGCCTCTTTGCAACAGTCTGCTGCGGCTATGTACTCGGCTTTAGTCGACGATAGCGCTACTATAGGCTGCCTCTTAGATTCCCATGATATTGGTCCATCGGCTATCATTAGCACGGAGCCAGAAGTGCTTCTTCGCATCAATGGGTCTCTAGCATAATCCTTGTCGCCGTAAGCATCGATGTTCTATCGGTTTGTTTCGTTTGAACAAAATGCCTTTCTCTGGTCTGGTTCTGGTAGACAGGTACAGTAAACTTCCCACTGCTTCCCTATATGGATATTCCTTTTCCTGGGCAGTTTCCTGTATCGACATTCAATCGCTACTTGCGGGCGTGTTACAAGGTTTGTCATTCATTCGTGCATTCATGTTGTATTTTTCCCCATCTCTGAGTAAGAATTATTCCTTATTTTGAGTTTTTTATTTCCATACCCAGACAAGTACTTGGATTTTCATTCTTTTTCATTTCAAT